CCTCCACTTCGAACTCTACCCCTCACGACACCCAGTCCTTGCCATCCAACCCTGTGTCACCTATTCCTGCGCCATCTGCTCCACTTCCACGCTCGAATACTGCGTCCCCGATGCTTGCACGACAGGCTTCCGCATCAGCTATGCCCGCTCGTTTCATTCCGTTGCCACCTTCCACGAATACATCGCCTGTGACGGCAATTCCTTTGAGACAAAGGGCATATGAGCAAGCTACGGACAACGAGATAGCATCGCCATCAAGGTCCTTGCCTCAGGCAGAATTTACTCAAATAACTGAAGCGCACACCGAACAAGCGAGCAGTGTAGCTGAGACTGACGAACGAGAGCCAACGTTTTCGTCTGAAGAGGGCCCGACGCCTTTCGGTCGCAGTGCTTCACATGGCCCAAACCAGTTCCAACAGAGCCGCGCATCTCCTGTGATCTCTGTTGCGTTTTCCTCACCTGCGCCTTCTGCCATGTTCACTCCGACACCTGCGTTCCCTCGTCCCCGTGCGCGTTTCCAGCTTCCACCAGCTCGGCCTCCAATCAGCACAACTCCACCAGACCCACTCAGCAGTTCTGAACAAGGCGGTACCCACGAAGACCAGGACGAGGCTACCTGGCGGGCGTGCGATCACCGCGAAGATCCTGCGACACCTAATGCTCACAAACGCTCCTTTCTCTTGTCCGTTATCAACTCGACTGCGCGCCCTCGCCTCAAGCACCCCACTCCTCACCCTCATCACGTCGGAAACGATGTCCCTGAGACGCCAGCGGCCGCATTGCCGGCTGCCTTCGCTGGTATCACACCAGGCCTCCACGCACATCTATCCATGCACTCACGTTTTTCCCACCCGTTAGCTCAAATCTGGACTGCACAAGCACAGTCAGACTCTGGTAGCGAAGAAGTACAGGCACAGTCTCCTGTCGGCTACGACGGCGGCCTCGACCGTGCGTCCTTCATCTCGACCGCGTCGTCGCAAGACTTGACGACACATGCCCGCGCGAACGCGTCCTTTGACCCCGTCATTGGGCTCGGTGAGCGCGGACATGGCGTCGGCCGCTTTAACGCAGGCAAGCTCAATAACTACTTGCACGGCTTAAATCGCAAACTCCAGGAGGAGAATGAGCAGCTTGTCGTGCAGCTACGAGCGTATGAGGAGAAACACGGTGCGTCCGACGCGACGGGCACCGAGGTCAGCCCTGGCTCCAGCGCGGCGTCGGCACGCCGAAGGCAGTCGGGTGGTGGACGCAGGATCAGCGCGGGTCCTCTCGGCCTTGGCGCTGTCGTAGAAGACGCCTGGGTTGAGGAGAAGGCGCAGATGGAGGAGCTCGTTGAGAAGATGGAAGAGGAGCTCGAGCGTATCGGGCACGAGAAGGCGGACACAGAGCGGGCGTTGGAGGAGGAGCGGGACGAGCGCATGCGGGACAAGGAGCGCTTCAAGCAGCGGATGACGGAGGTCGAGCAGGGTGTGCAGGAAATTGTCGAGGACCTTGACAAGAAGCTGCACGATGCGGAGCAACGCGCTGAGACTGCTGACAAGAATAAAGGACAGATGATCCGGGATGTCGAGAGGCGTCTGGCCGAGGTTATTGTAGAACGCGATGTGCTCGTGGAACGCGTCGAGCAGGCGGAGAACGCGCTCAAGAGCGGCAAGGATCTGGGCGCAGAGCTGAACGCGGCAAACGAGCGTGTTGCGAAGGTACTCGGCGACCTGAAGAACGCGAACCTCCTGATAAAGAGGCTCGAGGAAGAGGCTGGACGCGCGGATGAACGGATGGACGCCATGGAGAAAGAATTGGCGGAGGAGAAGAAGCTGGTCGTGGAGCTGGAGGAGGAGCTTCAAGTCAAGTCGGACGAGCTCTCGCAGACTTTACAGCGCCTCGAATCCTTGCAGGATGATGTCGATTCTGCGCGTCACGAAGTTCAGCAGCACAAGGCGTTTGCTGCGCAGCTCGAGGGAGATGCCAACGCTGCCGTTGAGCGTGTTGCCACCTTACAACAGCAACTCGCAGCAACTCGGGACAAGCTCGAGACAGTGACTGCCATTCTGGACCAGGAGCAGGAGAAGAGCAGCAAGTTCGAAGCCGAGGCGGAACGGACGGCCGAGCTCGCGCGCGAGCTCGAGGAAGCACTCGACGCCGCAGAGCACAAGATTCGGGACGACGAGGAGCAAATTAACGGCTTGAAGATCAAGGTATCCGGCCTCGAGCGTGAACTCGACCGGTCCCGTTCGCGAAACGAAGCGTCCAAGCTACAGGCTGTGCCTGATCCTGAGATGCAGGCCGAGATCGACGTGCTGGAAGCAGAACTCGATGGTGCCCACAAGGAGATTGCGCGGCTGAATATGCTCGTGAGCCAGTCACCCGCTCGCAAGGCGATGGAGCGCGCCAAAAACTCGCGAATCGAGATGCTCGAGCAAGAGCGCGACGATTTGCTCGAGCGGCTCAAAGCCATGAAAGTGAACTCGGCCAACGTCAGCGCATCGGGCAAGATGAGTGCGAACGGGATCTCGCCGTTCCACCGTGCCGTCTTGAACATGACCATGAAGAGCCCGAAGACACCGGGAGGGCCTTTGCGAGACGTATGTGATCTAGCAATTTGGTCATCGGGGCGCGTACTTATGTTGTATCGTGTAGCTTTCATGGCTCCAGACGACGGTTCATGATGCCACCGCTGCGCCGCTTGTCGCCGAGATCGAACGGCTACAGCAGGAGCTCGAGCGCGCGAACGAGGACATCGACGAGAAGATCGACAGGCTTGAGGACGCGGGCCTCGGCGTCGTGTCTTTGACCAAGCAGCTCGAAGATGCCCGAGAAAGGATACACGCATTGGAGGATGAGGTCGGTCGCCTCTCACGGCGCGAGGAGCGTCGCGTTCAAAGGCTCGAGAAGCTACGCTGCCAGAAGTGCCGCGTCAAGGTCGACACGCTGTCGTTGCAAATGCGCTCTGCAGACGAAAGGTGTGTGTTCGGTGACGATCGCCAGACGGTCGAGTTGCTGATAGCATACCTCAGCTCGTTGGTTGACCCAAGAGATATCGAAGAGGTATCTGAGCCGCCGACCCCACCGACGAAGACTAGCGAGAAGTTGCGCGCCGACCTGAAGGCGGTCACAGAGCAGTTGGCCAACATGAAGCAACAGTGGGACGGGGAGCGTCGCAAGCTCTTGGGCGAGAACGCTTCCCTGAAAGATACTACTAATCGCTTGAACCTCGAGGTCCGGCAGGCGAAGAGCGACATGAGGCGGCTTGCTGACACCGATCGTACGAAGGCTAGTACTCAGGGGGTAAGTTGAATATACCGAGGCCAGTCCCGATGCTGATTATCTTTGCCGGGTAGGAGCTTGAGCGCGCCAGGCAAATGGTAGAGGAGCTCGAGGGAGCTCTCAAAGTGGAACGCGCCCGGCTCCGCGCTCTCACCACTGAGCAGAGTCAGGCCGAGAGACAGAAGGAGGAGGTTGTCCTTCAGTTGTGCCGCACTGAATCGGTGAGGCCGTTCGCAGTCCATTGTGCGCACGCTGCTCACCCTTGTGCAGGACATGGCCGATATTCGCCAAGAACTCCAACGCATCAAGCAGGAGAATCAAGAATTGGAAGGCGAGCTCCGTGGTATGTCCTTAATCTTTCTAGTCCGTTTGACACGAGGCGCTTAAGAAGGTAATCAGCCAACTCGAATGTTGAGCAGAAGGCTCGTCTGCTGGAGAGCAAGGTGGCCGAGAATATTGAGACGATTGAACAGTTGCGCCGCGAACGTTCCTTGCTTGTGGCTGACCACAAGAAGCTACAAAAGCAGTTCGGACAAGCATCTGAGGTACGGCGACCTGCGCGTTCTCTGCAGGTTTTGTTAATTTCTACCCATTTCGCCGCAGAACGTCAACCAACTGCGCAAGAGTCACGCAACCTCGCAAACATCGCATGACAAGCGGAGGCACGCGCTCGACCTGCACCTGCTCGAGATCGAGGACCTTCGGCGCGCAATCTCGGCGCAGACTGGTGAGCTGCAGCGCGCTGAGGCGGAAACACAGCGGGCGGCGTCGGAACGAGGCGACCTGGCGCGCACGGTCGCCGCGCTCGAGACAGACCTCCGACGCGTGCGTCGTGACGCGGAAGCCTTTGGGCGCGACTTGCGCGAGCTTCGCGCCCAGAAGGACAAGCTCGAGGCTGAGCGGCGTGACGCGACTGCGCGGGCGGAGCGTGCCCAGAAACAGGCGCAGACGCAGATCCGGGTACTCAAGGAGGAGGTCCAGGAGCAACGCGAGCGGGCGCGTGCAGCACGCGACGAGTGGAAGCGGCATGTCTGTGCGGATGCGGTGTAAGTTCATCACGTTCATTTTGTCCTCGAGATACAAAGGCTGACTGGGAGATATAGCGACAACGAGCAGGTTGTCGCGCTGAAAGCACAGCACAAGAATGAGTGCAAGGGCTTGATCGTTCAGATCAAGTATCTCAAGGCCAAATGGACGCGAGAGTCGGGGCTGCGGTCTGACCTTGGCTACCAGAAGCAGTACCTCCTTGTGCTTCTGGCTCGGTGCGAACGCAAGTGAGTGGTTTTATACCGCAAGTGGTGCCGCGATTGACCGAACTATCTCCCAGCGAGCAAAAGATTCTAGCAGCAATTGCTAAAACTGGCTTCCCGGGAACGCTGCCTCACACCTCTGCCAAATCAACACGAAAGGGACGCAAGCTCAAGACCGTTGTACACTCTATCGTCTTTGCCCTAAGAGCGAAGTGAGGCGTCATCTTCTGCTGTCTTCGTATGTTAAAACCTAACTCGCAATTACAGACATGCGAGTGATGCATGGCGACTAGAATGCAGCGCAAAGCAGGCGATCGCCGCTGCGTTGCAGGACGTGCGTAAGGCACGGGAAGAGCGCGCCAAGGCTTCGGCTTAATTTATTCTGATATGTCTCTTTGTTATATGTTCTCTTGTATGTTCGGACATGTCTCTGGGTGTGGGACAGGCGTTACATTAGCATCCAGCATAAATGTATCATTAGAGCTTTCCAGAAATTGTTGAATACCTTCACAGCAGATTAACCGTGCGGGACAAGTACACGAACCCCGGCAAACCTCATGAGGATGGAGGTGATCCCTTTGTTGGCCGAATTATTTTGACGGTGCCCTTGGAGAAGAGGTACGATGCGCCGCTCCAGATTGTCGTTGCGCCTACTGTCCACCTAGGAGAATATTAGCAAGCGGTTCATGGACATGCTTACACGACGTACTGCAGTGCTTGCAAACCTATACCGAGATCGAACGGGAGCAGCGGACTGACCGTTGTCACGCCCATGAGAAGCAGCTGTAACGCAGTGTTGACCTACAATGCGCGGTTCAGTGAGCAAAGCCGATCGGCCGACTTTGAAGCGGCCGAACCTTGCTTATGCTTGTCGGATGGACTTCGGCAGAGGGTATTGAGAAGTCCCAGTACCGTGTCCAAGTTTTCTGCTCGTCGTAGGCGTCAGAGGTGGTGCGCATGTGTGCATGTATAGACTCACCGGAGGCGGTAGTGAAGTATACCGAATATAGAACGCAGAGAGGCTTAGCAGGACATCTCGACCGAGGATAATGACAGCGAGCGGTACTGAGAAGGGTAGTTGAAAGTGCTGAAAAACGAAAATATACGTGCCACAAACCTGGTATGAGGCTCTTCATCGCTAGTGTGACGGTCAGTGTCGTCATAAGTGTCTTATCCGCCGCAGGGTCGAGGATTGTCCCGAGGACGGATCGCATGTTGTATCGCCTTGCTATCCAGCCATCGACCTTTGGAAGCGCAAATAAAGTGAAATGTAATGCTCAGAACGCGATATTTCGCGGGGCGAGAGAGAAAGTGAAGAGGCAGACCAGATCAGTGAGGCCGGCGTACACGAGTAGTGCGGTCGCGGTCACGAAGTTGTCCTGGACGATGGCGTAGCCAAGCACAGGACAAGCAAGTATGCGCGAGATTGTGAGAAGGTTCGGAATGGTGTAAATGTCCTCGTGCAGTGTCTCGGTAACCTTCCCTAGTTTCTTGCCAGGCTCATTTCCGTTCTCGAGTCGCGGATGGTAAACAGAGAACGCTCGAACTACGGGTGAAGCAAATGCTGGAGGCCTCTGCAGACATGATACGCGAGTGGAAAATCTGAAGGCACCAGAGCGACGAAGACAGCGAGCAGATACAAGTGCAGGACGGAGACCGAGCATGGTGCAGGAGAGTGTTCAAAGCGCGAGCCGCCGAGGTAAGTAAGGTGTCTCAGACGGTGCAGACGCTCATGCTTGCACGCTTCGACCGCGACTACGACGTTCTACCGGCTGGCCTTCGCTCGAAATTCGCAACCCACGCTCCTTAAAGTTGTCAAGACTTGAAGCATAAAGCTTATGTCGTCGCCGTACTTCAATTCGCCGGCACGACCAGGAAGACCATTGTCAAGACCGTCATCGCGCAATTCGATGACCGGCCGCTCACAGAGCCCCATAGTAACCTACCAGGACGAGTCAGGTACGTGTCATCTGCCAATATTCTTCATTCTGTACAGGTCTCGATGGCGCATCGAGCTTTCGACTCTACGAGGCCCGCGTCTATGGCAGTTGCAAGAGCTCCACGAGGCGTCGCACTGCGACTACAATATAGCGAGTCTCCTCTTCTACTTGATTTCACGCAGAGAAAGGCAAGGCGATCTGTAGCAGATGGAGACAAGATGTATAGTTTCTTCGTGTCGTGGTCGTAATTCATGTTGGACAGACAGTGATCTCGTCACGGTGTGCGCGATTGGGCAAAGATGCATGCATGCCAGGGTCACCGTCTCCGCGATCTGTTGTTTTGACTATGACCTATTGCTATGTGTACTCATCATGCCCTCTACAGTTGCCATCCGAACGCAGATGTCGACACTTAAACATACAATCCGGCAGCAGCAAGCACAGCTACATAACCTCGAGAACAATCTATTACGCGGTCCGCGACCTCTCCCTCCCGGAATCCTAAACTCACCACCAATATCTCCAGATGAACTCGACAGCGACCCGTCCCCGTCCTTTGGGCGCTCGAATTCACACAATCCGTCTTCAGGCAGCTCAAGCCCGGGGATCAAGATGCAGCGTCGGTCGTCGTTTGAGATTCTATCAGGGCTCGCGGGGCCCGAAAGTAGCCTTCCGCTGCCGCGACCGAACGCGAATAACGTGCGCCCTAGCTCGTACATGGAGGAGAGTCCCCTGAGCATACGAGAAGGCATTCCCTTGACGTCGCCTAGTAAACGTGTGTCTAGCCCGACGCGTACGCTCAGTCGTACGTCCTGTCCTCCACACACACCCATCGCGCTAACTGTCGACATGTTGTGCCAGGAATCCCCGTCTCGTCTGTCGGTACGCAAGGTTGCCCGTTTCCGTTCGCTATGCCTAACACTATCCCGAAGGACACGCTCGCGCATTAGCAGAGGAAGATTCAGGATTAGGATCATCAATCTCGTCGCTACAACTCATATCACCAAGCCGTAGGTCGTCATTCGCTCCGGGGAATACCACGAAGGTTCTGGCGGACCTGCAGGCGGGCGTGCTGAATGCTAAGAACGCGCTGGAGAACACAAAAGCGCAATTACGGCTCAGTCAACGGCAGGTCAGCCAATTGACAAGACAATCTGAGGACCTGAAGGAGGTTCGTGAGCGCTTGCGACTAGAAAATGAGGGCTTGAATAATGTCGTGGCGCGAAAGGAACGATTGTTGCAAGAGGTGCGTCCCTGTCGCCGTGTGCTAGTATCTCACTGAGCGTGCGCAGGTCCTGGAACGGGCGCGGAAAGCCGAAGCCGAGGTACTTACACTGAAAGGTCAGCTCAAGACGGAGACAACGACGTCAAAGAAGAGTCTGCGCGAGATGGAAGCGGCACTGGCAGAGGCGCAAATGCGGTCACAGAAGTGCGAACGCGAATATGTCACGCTGCGGGACTCGCTGAAAGGGCTCGTGGAGTCTTTTAAGCAGGATCACGATGGCCTACGAGACGAGATGCGGAAGCGGGAGGAGAAGATGCGGCGCGAGGCCGAGGAGGTGCAGAAGAAGTACGTGAAGCTGATTGAGGAAGTGCGAAAGGAGCGTGAGGAGGAGGGGCGCGGAATGAAGGAAGTGGTGCGACTCAAGGATGACAGCTTACGAGTGACGAAGGAGATTGAGGAGGGTCTGAAGGAAGAGGTGGCGCGGCTCAGGGCAGAGGTCGATAGGTCAAATCGGGAGAGCGAGGGGGCGATTAAGACAGCAAAGTGCGTCTACAAGCTTCAGTTTACTTCCACGTGCTAATGTATCCGCACAGACATCTCGCGGAAGAGCTTGCGCATCTGCGTCGCCTCATGCGCACAGCCGGGTCCGCAGAAGCCGCACCCGAGGCGCCAGAATGAGCCCTTCGCCCTCTTCTCGAATATTACAGCAGATAATTCCCTACCATACGTATACGATACATTCCAATTTACCTTCATCCATCAATACCCACTCAATGCATTTTTTTGTTTACTTCACGTAGATTCTGTCCTGTTGTCACTGTCGCAAACTATAGTATATGTTATGTGGACGAAGCCTCAAGCTTCAGGTAAGAGCTTTCATGGCGGGTGTCGCGAGAAGCATGAGATGCATTGATAATGTTCGTAGACACCTCGTTGGTACGAATGCCAGGACTCTGTCAATGCGCAAACCTCTCACGGTAATACTAATATTTGGGGTTTTAGGGTACCAATAACGCTGGTCATGTCCACCGAAATCCCAGGCTCATATGTGCGTTCATACGACAGTGGACTCCTTGCAAGTTATTGACATGTATATTGCCAGACAGTTGATGTATGAACGTCGTTTTCTGATTTAATAAATGTCTCTCAAGTATATATACAGAGCTGGACTTGGCTGCCAGCAATCACCGACCATGTTGTCATCCCCTGGACCTGGACCTTGTCGCCGTAAGCGTGGTGGCAGAGCGTGGCACCGCGAGTACTTTGCCGACCACGTCCGTTACGAGTCGGGCGACCCATGTGCGATGGTACGCGCCGGACAGCGCAACGCCCGCGTCAAGGTCTGGTGCAAGCGGTGTCTCGAAGCCCGGGTGGAGGACGTCGTCCGCGTCGAGACGCAGCAGTATGAGCGAGGCGAGCTCGCAGCTGTTCGCGAGAGAGACCTCGTTGTCGCGGAATGTGCGTGTGTGTCTCCCTCATGTCGTCGGAAATTGTCGTACTCATGATGCTCTGGCAGTGTGGAACGCCACGGACGCGGGCTGGATACCCTGCGACACTTCACGTTGCCTCGTCCATCTCCGCGACTGCGAGCTCCAGCCGCCTAGCGTCCGAGAGCGTGCGCGCTCACAGAAGGAGGAACAGAACCAAGCACGCCGCGTGCCGGATAATGCATCGCCTCCGGATGTCCCCTCGCTTCCGGAGGCGAATGGTGTCGTCACGGAAAGGACTGCGTCGATGTCGGTCTCGCTTGCTTTGCCGCCCGTGGCCCTGCCGGTTGTCGTACACCCCGTGGTGCTCGTATACCCTACGGGTTATTTCAGTGCCTTGCAGATGCAGACGACTCCGGTTCAGTTGGCACCACAAT